TGTTTACCGCCCTACTCCGATGAACTTTCCGAAGACCGTTCCGGCGACTACTCCCATTCCGGTGACCGTTCTGGCTATCGTTTTCGGCGACTGCTCCGATTCCGGCAGTTGTTCCAACTCCGGCGAATATTCCGGCGACAACTCCACTATATTTTTTTGTACGGTCGACATATTTTTTTTCCCGGTCACAACCCAGGTCACAAGTCACAAATCACAGCCCATGTCACAAGTCACAGCTCGGGTCACAAGTCAAGAGTCACAGCCCAGGTCACAAGTCACAAATCAAGTCGTCGCCACCACCACCTTCACTACGCCGCCTGATCAACCACAGGCCAGCACCACTACCATTCAAAACCACAAAAATAAAATAAATCGATGAGCATCGCTAAAGCTCTGACGAAGCAGATCGGAGGAAAAAACCAACCCAAAAGCCCAAAACCATAGCCACTGCACCCCATCCCCACTCACCACCGCAGTCAACAGCACATCCAATAACACCAAAAAACTAGATCCAAAGATAATCAGTCACCTCCACAACCAACACCACCTTACTAGCACCGCCACGCTAGCACCACCAACAACTAAAAACAGTGTCACCATTTGCAAATCACCACCAACTATCCCAAAAACTTTGACACCCATTACTCCAAATTTCCCCTCATTTTCCACCACTAGCAACAACGCTTTCACCTACCACCATCGTCGCCCAAAAATTGGTCAACCATGGATCGTAAACTAGATCCGATCGACAATGAGGGCTTCGTTCAGAGCGCAGCGACCACAAACCATTGCAGCCCTAGATCGCCCAAAAATCAATGATGACCGCTACAACAACAATGATCGCTGTGCTCTGAGGGTAGCGACGACTACATCATCGTTGCTGCAACGATAATGGAGGAAGAGAGAGAATAGAGAGAGGGAGAGAACGGAGAGATATTTCGGTGTGGAGAGGGCAGAGATGGATATATTAATTTAATTTCATTATTAATAATATAAAATTATTATCTGATTTTTGTATAAACAAGTTTTAAATCTGATTTTTAAAATAGTAACTTAAAAAATATGGTTCTATGTAATTTCCACTTTATTAACTAATTAAATATATTAAAATTACAATTATACAATTTATGGTCACGTATACGTACTTATGAGTCACAACTTATTTATTGGTTACATTTTATCAAGTTAATTGGTCACATTTTATCAAATTAATTGGTCACAGATTATTTTTCGATCACAAATCAGAAACTTTACAGGTCACAAATCATTTTACGGTCACAGATTAAAATTTTCATAGGTCACAAAATCAAAAAAAAATTAATAGGTCACAGGTCACAAATATTATGAGTCACAATTTATTAATCAATCTCAAATTATTAAATTATCGATCACAAATTAATAATTTTTTAGGTCATATAATTTCATAGTCACAAATTATTTTTTCATTGGTCACACTATTGTTTATTGGTCACAAATTAACCAATTTAATGGTCACAGTCAACCAAATAATTGGTGACCACCACCAACACTTGTGACGTCCGACAGCAACACCTCCTCCTCGGCGCCAGAACCACCACCATAGCTGCCAAACCACCATCGACAGAACCACCACCACCTTTCGAAAACTAAGAACACCGTACTCTCCATCTCTTTACCACCACCACCACCACCTCCTCCTCCTCCTCACCACCAATTTCACTACAAGACCACCACCACACAAAACACCACAAAATAATAGAGTTTAGCTACATTTTTTTAAAAAAAAACCCAGTAACATTAAAACATCCAATGCTGTGAAAAATCACCAGCTGAAAAACTGAGGCCAATAAAAGTCAAGCTATGAAAAATAAAAGGCCCTAAATCTTACATATCGAAATCAAATCTTATTTTGGAGTAATCAATTTTTACCATTTAGCAGACAGAACCATTTCCCTAGCTCTACCACTCCCTCTACCCCCAAAATAACCACCATCATCATTTATATTAATAAATCCCCCTCCATCGATGAAAAACCAAAAACCCATTTTCCACACCATCGTTAGTATTGCCAGTTAGGGATTTAGGCTTTGTGCGGCGAGATCTATGGATGAGTCGCTTGGGTAAAGTTTTGGTGGGTGGTGTGGCGATTGCGGATCTGAAGGGTGAAACAGGCGGAGGAAGGCGGCGATTGGTCTGATGAGGTCTCAGATAGAAATAGGACGTTATGATGGCGATTGAGGAGGAAACACAGCGTCAATTTATATGGATTGATGGTGGTGACGGGACTGGGTAACGACAAGGGCGGCGACAGCGGAAATGTGAGGAGTTCGTGGTTGAAAGAGGCGGTGGCGATGGGAAGTTGAGAGAGAATGGAGGAAGGTGATTGGGTGGGTTTAGAGAGAGTGGGGAAAATATTTGAAGTCTGAGAGAGAGAGAGAGAGAGATGGGGGAATGAAAATTAATTAGGGCTTAAGATCTGATTTTTGAATTTGAAAAATTAAGGCCCTGATCTCTTTGGTGTTTTCGGGCCGTTTTCTGTTTTCGATTTTTCAAAACGGTGAAAACACGTTCTCTTTCCCATTTTCGAAAACGAATTTTTGAAAACACAAAAAAAAAAAAAAAAAAATTGTACACAAAACGGAAAACAGCCCAAAAGTCATATTGGATGTATTTAGGCCAAAACACCAAACCAAGTTGAAAACACCGGAAATGGGCAAAATGAACCACAGCACAACTCCACGCCATCTTCAACAAACAATAGTTCCACACCTCATGGAGCTGGCACCTTCTGCTCCAAATTCAACCACAATACCGCCTGACAATCCACCGGTTTTCTACACCATCAACATGTCCTCATCCCACTCTTCAATTCCATACCAAAATCTGAAGGAAAGTGGGAAGATCTTGCCCAGTTCGAATGCAGCGAACCACGCACAATGTATCCCTTTCTTCCGTCGCCGACGTTGAGAATCACGGTCGTGCACCACCACCATTACCTCCTACTCATTATGGCGGACAAGATACATATATGGGTCTTCGTCAATTTAGCTCGAATCTGCCAATCAATGAACCTACAACCAACAAGCACGAAATGCCGCTCGACCTCATTTCAAATGAACACTCAAATATGCTCCAATCTAAAAATCAACCTGTGGGAACTGAAATTCATCATCAAACGACATTGGGTACTCATTCAATTGCAGAAATTGAACTATTTTTCATTCATGGTATTTCAACTGAATTGTTTTTCATTTTCGAGATGCTGTTTTGGTGTCTTTGTGATGATATTAATATGTTGTTGGATAATTTAGGAATGTGATCAGAGCTGGTGGTGCTTGGTTTACTGTTTTATTGTTATTGTTATTACTGGAATCAGATGTTATTTTCTAGTGTTCATCTATTATGATAATTGGCTTACTTTCGGTGCCTAGGTTGACTTTAATGTATTTTCTTGAACTGCAGTTGGACAATTGGACGTTGATTGTTTAGGCTTTATACTCGAATGGGAAATGGTTAATGTGGGTTGTTGTTGTTTTGTTGTTTGTAAGTTAAACTCTGTTCTTTATGTTCAGGGGTCAAGCTGAGAGAGAGTTTAAGGTTGAAGTTGAAGCAATTGGACGTGTTAGGCATAAGAATTTGGTAAGATTACTGGGCTATTGTGCTGAAGGAGAACATAGGTACATCTCAAGCTTGTATTTTATTTCATCTTCTAGATAAATTTGCAGTTTGTACATTACTGGTTGTTTTGTTTCTGAATTTGTCCTTAATTAGGCCTATTTCCTATAGATGTTTCAATCTTGGGTTGTATGCTTTTCAGGATGCTTGTGTATGAGTATGTAGACAATGGTAACTTAGATCAATGGCTTCATGGGGATGTAGGGCCTTATAGTCCTCTCACATGGGATATTCGAATGAAAATCATACTTGGAACTGCGAAACGGTAATGAAAATCTTCATACCTATTAAATCTTGTGCTCATCTACATGGATTTGAACTTGTTATTAATCTTTTAGTTGGTATAACTAAAACTTGGTGAATATCTTAGACTGACCTATCTGCACGAGGGGCTTGAACCTAAGGTCGCTCACCGTGATATTAAATCAAGCAACATTTTATTGGACAAACAATGAAATATCAATGCTGATTAAAGGATTTTAGGTCATTATTAAGTTCTGTCTGAGTATTAGTTGATCTCAAATATTGATGATTACTCTTTGTTGTGATCAAAGATTTTGTATTTTTGATTTTTTTTTTTTATAGTATTAAGTTGTTGGAGTGCATTTTATAAGTGAGACTCCTTACTGTAATCTCCAACTCTTTGCTGTCAAATTCTCAGAATTATCCATTAATGAAAGAAGCTATGTGAAAAAGATCCTCAATGTTATCTGTTCTATAAGTCTCATTGCAGTTATAAATTCATATGGTTAAGTGATTGGAAGAGGAAAAGAACTTCATAATGGAAGTATTTTAGCTTGCGACACTAAGATGTGTAAACGTAGAACTTTATGTGGCTGACTGAATGCCTATTGCTTTATTTGTTGCATAAATCATCACTCTGATATTTTTCCTTTCAGAATTGTCAGAGTCATTACATGAGATGGGGAACTGTCTACTGGAGAAAACTGCATTAGATGATGGTGGGGAAAGTGGTAAGAGAACTGGTTCTCAGTGCGTATAGAAGTTGCTTGAGCTCTTGTTTGGCAGCAATAGGAAACGATGGTGTTGCAATTATGATTTGGTGAAATTTTACTAAATACCAATTTATTAACCTTTGTCCAATTATGAAATTACATTTGCTGAGTCCTCTCTGTTGGCTTTGCTTTATGGAATGATAAAAGCGCCTTATTTTTCTTTACATCATAATGTTAGCTCACAGTTATTACATCTAATTGGTGGAAAATCACAGTTCTAGAGGCATGGTTATGATTTTCGAGGGACGTATAAAGATTTAGGACTAAGTCTATAGCTAGTCCAGCTCAAACGGAAGCTGGTAAAGACATATCAAATCCGTTCATGGTTCTGGGCTTACCAAAGGCTCAACAAACTCAGGAGACTGTTGACTCTCCTACTTTTCAATTTAATCAGACTCAACAGACTGAAAATCCTGTTACAGAAAATAAGATTATTGAAGATCAGACACAACAGACTGATAATTCTGCTACTAGACTTATTAGTCCAATAGACCTTAAACAGAAAAGCCCAGTAAATCTTTTAGAATCATTTCAATCGTCTCAAGATCCAGAACAAATTTCTCAGACAGATATCAAAAGAATTAAAGAAATGTTTGACAAGATTGAAGAACTTCAGCAACAAGTTAAACAAAGCACTACAAAAAAACAAGTTGCACAATTTTACACTAACTCGTATATGAATGTTGGAAGAAAATAATTTCGAAATGACATGCTCAGCTCTTTGGGCTGGCCAGTATTAAAATGTGTTAGAACTTAAATGAGAGGGGATGGGCAGTAATGCATATCTAACTTGATCAAAAATACAGTATTTTTCAATATCACGTTTCCAGTTTCTTAATATGGTTTTAATTATTTTAAGACCATTATAATTATTCCTTTTATTTTAAAAAATATTTGTTGTACATCACCATTTACATATTTTTTTTTACAGATTGATGATGTGTAAAAAAGAAAGTGAGAATTTTTTTTTATTTAGTTGATGAGATTTTGACCCAATAAAATCTTACGACGTCTTATGTTGGTAAACTAATTTATAATTTATTATGTACATGTAACACAATCGATTATTTAATTTGCTTATTTAATCTTTATAAAATAAATAAAAACGCAAGTGATTTTTGTCGTCTAGACCCTACTTTAGCAATGTTACCTTATTAATTTTTTTCTTCAATCGATTAACATTAAACTATTAAAATTTATTGAATAATCAGATTTATTGAATAAAATATTATAAAAAAAGATTCTCAAAATTTCAAAGTAAACGCGCTTTCAAATTTTCTATTTTGAGAAAACAGTTTTTCAGAATGACAAAGAGAACAAGTTTTCAGCAATTCCAAAACAAACACTCAAAACCGAAAACACAAAATGAATTCAAAACTCAAAACACAAAACTGAAATATAAAGAGAACGGCCCCTAAATGCCCCTTTTTTGTAATTTTCTCTTATTTTATAGTCTACAGAAACATTGATGCGGACATCGTCGAGACTTAATTTTATTCTTATTGGACTTTATTTTCCTATTATTGGACTTGTAGTAGTGGGTTGGCCCAAACTCATCACTTAGCTAGGTTTTTACTATTTATATGGTTTTGATTGACATTAGACATCTAATGATTGAATGAAAATTAAGTTGGCGACCACGCTTTATTTCCTCCCCTTCCCTGTGTTTTTCCCGATTCCCTCCCCCGTCTTCTTCCTCTTTTCTTCCGTTTTCTTCTAAGTTCTTGGCTTGAATTCTAATTCATCCTACATCAAACATGTTCACTTACATGTGCTAAATGGACAAAGATGTAGTATGATAATCATATGAACTTATGTAACCAAGTGAACATTGTTCATTCAAGGATTTTACCCGTGTAAAATTGAGGATTTTGCTTCGCAATTTAGAGAGTTTTAAGGTTCTGTTTGCACTTTGTTTTTGCTGTTATCTAGGTAACGTCAAAATAAGTTTGAGCTGAATTTTAGCTAGATGGAATTATCCCATTTCTACAGCTACATCAAGGCAGTTCCTAGTTCCTACCCTATGGCCAACTCCTTATTATATATATTGAATATTGCTCGATTCTGTTGTACCTATTTAATTACACAATATATTTTCACGTCTTGGTTTTTCTACTTTTGTCATAACCAAGTTGAACTCTTGTTTTGTGGATAGAATCTAAATTTTATCAAAACTCCAGAAGAAAAGAGGAGAAATGCAAATTAAAAGTGGTGCCTTCTCATTGTGCGAATACCTATTCTATTATAGTAGTAGATGTTTGGTAGCATATGTCTTTAAAGTATAATACACACACAATATGTATTCAGTCAAACTATTGGTTATATCCGTTTGGCACTTGAGGAAAATGGTGTGGATCAATGGAAGAAGAACTCCCCATTTGATGCAACAACTGTGTTCAGAGATTTGATCACCACTGTCGATGGGCTGGCCAATGCCTTGGTATAGTAAGTATTCTGGCACGCATAAAGAAACGCTGATGGTTAAAAATAGACAGCTTATTATTTTGTATTCCATATCTGCTTATGATATATGTCATGCTATCTTTATATAAAATCAATCGGTCTGAATACCTTCATAAGATTCTTTTTCATTTTACATAAAGACCTGTGAAATAGAGCATATTACGTGCATTTCACTCTCCTACTATTAAATATCAGGGTGTCTACTACAGAAGTTCACACATGTAGCCATGTTCCTGCTTCAATTTCCATGCTATAGCTTCACAATATTGCGAATTCCTTTGCAATACTTGTGATGTCTTATTTCAATTGGACTCTAATTGATGCAAAATGGAAAGTATATTCTAGGCATAAACGGAATCAAATCAACTAAAGATAGAATTTTCCTTAATGTATTTTATTGTCTTTGGTAAAATAGCGAGTTTGTCTCCTTTTTAAAAGAAATTCCTAGTTTTCCTTTTCAATGTTATTTTTAACCTATGAAATGAGGCTCTTTGATGGTAAGAAGACACACTTGAATATTGAATAAAAACTACAATCTTCCCTCATTTCTCTCTTCCTACTTTCTTATTCTTCTTTATGGTTCTTGTTCATTGCAATCGGCATCACTAATATATCTGGATGTTGAAATAGAGCACTTCAAAATACTGCAGTTGTGTATGAGTTCAAAATCACAATTTTCTAAAGCATGGGTCTTATAAGATGGAAACTTACATTATGTTTATGATTCCTCATCCCACATGGAATAGGTGGAATTATCCGAGTGGTATGCAAATATGGGTTCTGTAGGTCATGGAACTCACCTTATCCCTTGTGTGTTAAATAGGACTTCTAGTGTTTCTTTGGGTTGCACAATCTATGTCTTACACCTTTTGTTTCTGACAGCATTTTAAATAAATCACTGTAAAATGGAGATAACTTGTTGAAGTTGAGGATACTATACTTTGTGTTTTTATGCATTGAGATGATATTATCAGACTATCGCATGGTTGATGGAATGATTTTGTTCTTGTTTGGTTTAATTGCACCACTATGGTACTTCATACTTCCTTTGCTAAAGTTACTGGGGCATCTTTTGCAATATGTTTTGCAGCATAATTATCGGTTTTTCTACATATTTTTATCTACACCAATGATCTTATGCATATACGTCTGTGGTCTCGTGGGTCAACATTCTTTGCCAGAAAGGTAAAATGTGGAAAGCCATGTTATTGTTAGGTGATATTTTATCAGCTATTCTCATTTTGTGTACTGCTTCATCACCCTTTGGTTTGTCGGTCCTTACAGTTTTCCACTTCTATCTGATTAGCACAAACCAGGTGAGTGTTCTTCCAAAGCGTACATGATCAATCTACTATTTTTTATGATTATCAGGAAGTTTCCCATTACTATTTCACTTATATGATCTAAAGATGGTGTAATATATTGGAATTCAGAGAAAAGAAGGCATTGACACCTTGTCTTCTATGCTTTATCTTAATGTGAACTTGAGAATAACTTTTTGTGCACAAACCTTTCCAACAGGTTTACATGATCAAAAACCTGAAAGTAGTCTTTTTCTCTAAAATCCCACCTTCGATGATTGATTTCAGAGCATATGTTCTGGAAGAGGAAATTATGGTTATGGAAGCGACAGATCTTAATATCACAGGAAGTTGGGCTAGCTCAATTGAAAAAAAATTGATATTAAATGGGAGATAAATTTGCTGAGAATAACGGTACATCAATTTCAGGGATCTTACATAATCTGGAATTCAAAGGCATCAAGGATAATGTGAAACGGCAGGAAGAGAATGAAAGATTTGATTCCTGCCCATTTCTCTTTTCAGCTGTACAAGAATTGAAGTACCCCGAAATTATCTCCCAATCAAAGTTTGGGGAAAATGAAGAGCCCAAAAGTAAATATGGCGACACCACTGTAAAGACATACCAATTGAAACAGAAAATCAAGGTAGAAATTGCTGGAGAAGCAAACAAAAGGAAAAATTGTTCTAGCAAGGCAATCAAGAAATTCAAGTACCAAAAGTAAAATAAAATCTACAATTCCACGTTATGGCTTCTTTGGTAGTAGTTAACAATCCATGTGTTGTTTTACTGCATTGATGCTGACAATTCTTCTCTTGACATTGATTCTTTCGAGTTCAACCATATACTGGGCGATGCAGTCAAAATATGGATGACATAGTACGTAATTTTCACTTCATTTGAAATCAGAGAAGTACTTGTTATTTTGACAGGTTTGATAAAAGGAGAAATGAGTACCCCAACCCCCATCAAAGATTTGGATGCATGCGTGAGAAGATCGCTATGTATTGTGGTTGGAAGCTCTCAAAATATAGATGTTGAATTCATTTTGTTTAAACCAGAACATACACGAGATTCTTGCTGGCTTCAGAATTCTAGATACAAAGTGGCAGCAGAAGTTTCGAAGTTGAAGTGCGGGCTGTCGAAAATAATACAGGGTCTTGCAGAACGAGAGAAAAATCTTGAAATAGTGAAAATAGATAGATTTTATTATTTTATATGTAGTGCTTTTGTCTGCATGAAACTCTCGAGTTGAAATTATGTATCCAGTGGACAGGAGCATAATATAATATCAGATATTTTTGGAGGAACTAAATTATAGAATTTGCAGTGAATTCCTTGTTCATTGTCCAAGTTCTTTCTTAAATTGCTTCTAGAATGCCATTTTTCTTGTGGGATTCTTGCATGAATTGGTCTTAAATCCCAATCCTAGTTTTTATTAAATTCTGCTTCATGAAAAGACAGATGGAAATCAGAAAGTCTTGGCAATTAACTGCCACAGTTCATGTAAAAAAAAAAAATTCAAATGCCCAGAAAATAGAAAAATCTGTCAACAACTGGCGTGGAGAAATAGAGGCCCCAAGAATTCACCTTTGATGAGTGGTGTCAAATGATTTGAGAATGAAGCCGACTGGATTTTGTCATGGGCTTGGTGAAGTCCAGTTCACCAATTCTTCGCGAGGCTCAACCAAGGTGGGTTAAGCCGAGGCATGAATAAACAGCCCTACAGGTTCAAGAGAATCGCTGCTCTTTTTTATTTATTTGTTTTGGTCTATGTGGGTTAGTCCTAGCTCGGATTATGGTTCGACCTACTTTTGACACCACTACTTCGAAATTGATTCAACATGACATCAGAATCACTAAACCAACCTAGCAATCGTGCAGGCCCATTGTATCATGCCACGTGTCAAACTCCAGTTTAGCTCATAGATTTCCTTGGATGAGATTAGATTCAAATTACATATAGCCCAACATCTTATCTCTCCCTCCACAAACTCCAGTTTAGTTTCATTTTTCTGCTACAAAATTTGCCCCAGAATGGCAGCAGAAATGGCCTTGGTCAAACCCATATCCAAATTCAGCTCCATCATCCCAAGAATTGGAAACTCCCGATTGCCAAGCTCCAGATTTTTTACCATCACAATGTCATCCACAACCCAGTCCCAGGCAGCAACTGTAACCACGAAGAAAAAGGCTGGCAAAAAAGAAATAAATGAATCCCTGCTGACCCCAAGATTCTACACCACAGATTTTGATGAAATGGAGCAGCTTTTTAACACAGAAATCAACAAGAATCTGAACATGTCTGAGTTTGAGGCTTTGTTGCAGGAATTCAAGACTGATTTCAACCAGACTCACTTCGTGAGGAACAAAGAGTTCAAGGAGGCTGCTGATAAAATGGAGGATCCCTTGAGGCAGATTTTTGTAGAGTTCTTGGAGAGGTCTTGCACTGCTGAGTTTTCTGGGTTCCTTCTCTACAAGGAGCTTGGGAGAAGGCTCAAGGTGGGATATTTTTCTGTTTCCGTTCGATTCTTTTTCTTTTAATTCTTCATATAATTTATTGGTTTTTTAAAATTTAGATCTTTTACTGAATTTGGGGCCGATTTCGTGAATAAATTTTAAATTGGATCTCCATTGTTGTTTTCACCATACATCAGCATTCTGAACTTGAGGCTAGAACTACTTATGTAAATTTACTTATAAGTAAATAAGTTATTGGTGAAAATTGAAATTGAGTTACATATTTTGATAGTAAGCTAAGAGTTTAGTTTCAACTTCAATTTTGCTTATACAAATTTTTCGAAAAACTCCGAAAAAAAGATGACTTATGAATTTGGGAAACTTGTTTTGTATTGATCCATACATATTTCCTTTTGCAATGACCATTTTAGTGGTAATTGCTAAGGCACTCAGGGCAATTTATTTTCTTTTGCTCTTTACTAAACCAGCTGTGAGATGTTGAGCATGTCCCCTCTTGTCTAAGTTTCTGCTTCTCGTCATCTGTTGCCTATAATTGCATTGTTGTTTTGGATTACATTAATAGGAATTTCATAATTTGCTACCTCAAGTAGTTAGGACACTGCCTAATTTAACATTGTTATAATTAACTAGTATGGAAATTGATTATGCAGAAAACTAACCCTGTAGTAGCTGAGATTTTCTCTCTTATGTCGAGGGATGAAGCTCGCCACGCGGGGTATGCTTCGCCTTTTTGCTCTCTCTGAATCAAACTTCTTCACGACACAGTTCTCGTTGTAGTTTACGAGTTCTGAGAAAATCGGTTTTATGATGGATTCTTGCAGGTTCTTGAACAAGGGTTTATCCGACTTCAATTTGGCACTGGACTTGGGATTCCTTACAAAGGCAAGAAAATACACATTTTTCAAGCCCAAGTTCATATTCTACGCAACTTATCTGTCGGAGAAGATAGGATACTGGAGGTACATAACGATATACAGGCATCTCAAGGAGAATCCAGATTACCAATGCTATCCAATTTTCAAGTACTTTGAAAACTGGTGCCAGGACGAGAATCGCCACGGTGATTTCTTCTCAGCTTTGATGAAAGCACAGCCTCAGTTCCTGAACGACTGGAAGGCAAAATTGTGGGCACGTTTCTTCTGCCTCTCGGTAATTATGTCACATTATCGTTGACAAATCCTATTGCTTGTTAATTGATTGGACAAATCAGATCCTTTTTGTCCTTAAATCTAATCCTCTCTGTAATCTTGACTACATAATGCAGGTTTACGTGACAATGTACCTTAATGACTGCCAAAGAACAGCTTTCTATGAAGGCATTGGGCTAAACACTAAAGAATTTGACATGCACGTCATCATTGAGGTGAGGGTTTGTCCTCAAGTATCTCATGCATAACTTAGTTCTCAACTTTCATACTAACAAGCTCATTTTTCTTCTGGTTCTGAGCACATCTTGATAAACTCCCTCGAAGATTTGAGTTCTTGCTAAAACTGGTTTTTGGTTTTCCTGCAGACGAACCGCACAACAGCTAGAATTTTCCCAGCTGTGCCGGATGTTGAGAACCCAGAATTCAAGAGGAAATTGGATCGGATGGTGGAGATCAACGAGCAACTGATTGCAGTGGGACAGAGCCAAGATATGCCTTTGGTGAAGAACTTGAAGAGGATACCACTCATTTCAGCTCTGGCTTCTGAGATATTGGCTGCATATCTCATGAAACCCATCGAATCTGGTTCTGTCGATTTTGCAGAGTTTGAACCACAACTTGTTTACTGATTTATTCGGTCCAAACCTGTATTCAATTCTCAATTTTACAGAGTACGCTGTTTATTGTAATTACGGGGATAGTTTGATGATACTGAGGAAAACATTTGTTATGCAATGAGAGCATCCTCCTCCAACTTTCTGCAATGCTATAATGTGTATTTGTCAAGTGATCTGATCACAATTCTGTGAAAAGAACGATAATTGAAGATAGAAGAAACGAACCCAGAATTTCTGAAATCGATAAAATCATTAATCGAAGCACTCCACTTAAATATACAGCTCTGTGCGCGCGTGCATGCGCATTGTGAGTTAGAGGGAGAGAGATTAATGTAACTACAATTGCATTGAACCCAAATCAGCAATGTATACGTCATTCTGCGAGCAAATTTTACAAGTTAACTGCATCAAAATACCTACAAATTCTATATACACACAATGATCAACTGTTCTTTCAATCAGATTTTTCGGACTTCACCTTTGGCGTCTCATCTTTCTTGGGTCGAACTATCACTCTAAATGCCCACACTGCTGCCAAAGTTGCCTCCATAGGAGCAAGCCAGTAAACAATTAAATGCTCCTTGCTTATATGTTTCCCGCGTGCAAAAGCCCACCCCATTACCTGAGATATGCAATTAGCGATGCAATTAGATTTTACTCAATGTGCATCCAACCAAATTCAACAGTAAACATAGATTACGTTTAGAATGATTACAAATACTTACAGAGGCTGGATTCATGCATCCTCCAGTCAGATCAGAGCCGAGTATGTGAAGAGTGAGCTTTGAGACACTCGATATCCAAGTCTTCATGAAGAAACTTCCGGGAATATTTCTCGAGAGCCCTTGGGATATAATCACAATTCCAAATGTCAAAATACCTTCAGTCAATGCACCTCGAGATATCTCAACATTCAGACGTGGCCCATGTCCTATTTCAGGAAATGCCACGAGAATGAGCTTAACCCCATAAATAGACCCCAAGACCTTTAAAAGAGAGATGGAAGAACAAAAATAAGTGTAAGCACCGGTAAACAACTAAACCATCTTAAACTCAGCTTCCAGATGTCATCTAAAAAGCATGACAAGTCTCAGACGACTATCCGATGATTATGAATTAACTACGAGTTTTGAGAATTACTTTTTTTTTAGAACACAATGTCAACACTCTTCACAACTGTCTGAGAGGTAAAGTAGAATCACTGCAGCGGTGACAACGTGAGAAAAAGGAATGTTCTCTAACTAAGAAGACAATGGAACACAAAGTATGTGGTGAAAAGAATTTGACTAGTTGAGAACAATTCCAAATTAGGAACCTCGAATAAGAAAATTCTACATATAGATACAGAATTATCCCCAAAGAATTTGCCAAGCTAACAAGATATCTCCACTGTCCCACTTCTTCCACAAGTATATTATTGCAAGTTAGACCTCTCAATCATATTGCAAGCGCTAGTTCCATACAAATCAATCAATTAAAACACGCAACATCAGTATTTACGCAACATCATTATTTATAAATTATTAACTGAGAATAAGTCTTGCATTTATGGCAATGAGACTTTTTTACCACAAGATTTAGCTTAATGAATAACATCGACTTTAGAGAGTTCAAATTCTTTTCGCGCGCATCCATCGTAATTGCTGCTTACTGAAATCTAATTCATTTCAGTACACGTATCCGACACAAAAATAAGTCAAAGCCCAGACGTCCCAAGATTCTAAGAACTCGTTAATGCAGAAACAAGAGGGTGTTGTCTGGGCAAAGACAAACAAATTTGAGTTCCACCAGATTCACTCTGCATTTTTAATCATCACCATCCAATCTTCTTTCAAGGTCAAATCCCTAAAAGCTTCTTAAGCTCTTTCAATAACTAAATTACTTGTACCTACACTGTATATGGTTTTAGATATTAGATCAATTCACTTTCCAAACAAGAAATATAAATTTTTGGCTTAAACTCAAAGATTTATTGCATGCCCTAATCAGAATTTACCATCAACCCAAAAGCAAGCATTCCTGAAAATAAAGAGAAGAATCATCCATCGAACTTCTCTAATTCAATGTCTTACCAAACAAAATGTCAATTTATGCACATAATTACACGCATCAATCGCCAAATTTATCAAGCCACAATATATTTCCTAAAAAAAAAAAAGACAGCAGCATAATAATTACAGAAACAAGAATTAAAACATTTGTATTCAGCACACCTGGATAGGAATTCTGGCCCCGACGGTGAAAAGGAAATTGCTGAAATCCCCAGAAATGGCGGAGGACAAGATGGTGAGGGGGTTGTAGGCCCCACCCTTGGTGGCTTTGGCTAAGAATGCAAAGAAGAACATGTTGACAATGTATATTCCATACGTCAGAATTTCACCCTTCAAGTCATGGGAGCCATAGCCCAATATTTTATGCACAAAAATCTTGATAAGCACGCCGGACCAAACCCACATGAAAGACATAAAGAAATCCGACACTAGCAGCCGCCTTCGTCCTACGGCAGCCATGGTTGGTCCTGGGTGCTCTCTCACACACACGGAGCCGGGAGGTGGACTTATTTTATACACAAATATCTGAATGGAGCTAATGCCTTCCGGGAATCTCCGATTTCCCAGTTTTCATGTTCGAGGAAAGTCCACACCATGAATGTCGGGGTTTTATTGATGGCTGTTTGTGTTATCTTTTGGTCGTTTATTTTTTCTATATTTCGATTTATTATTATTATTTTTTATGTTTTTGTTTATCTATATATTTCAGGATTTTGCTATTTATACATTCTAAGGTTGACATCATTATTGACATTTGCCGTGCTGTAAAAAAGTAATCGGATGAAAAACTTTTTTTTTAATTGTCAAATGACAATTTATCATATGGCAAAACGTAAACCATGATATACACCAAGCATGATTTTTTTCTTTTTATGGGATAGGGATGGCATTGGGGTGGTGTAGGGTGGATTGCGGTCAGATAGCCATTCTCGTCCCTCGTCCTCCCAGATATTTTTGTTATTTTGTCTTGCCCCCGTATCTTGTTAAGATAAGGGTGGATGTGCAGTGGCGAAACCAGGTTTTGAACTCATCCCGGGCGGACGTCGACCAGTCAACGTCGATCATCAGCGATCGTAAGAACGATATCGTTTATTAATATTTAATTATATAATATTAAAAATTATTCAATAT